TTGTTGCAAAAAAAAAAAATCTAATTTATTTGTGTTCTTGAACTTTCTATTTAACAAAAATCCTGTAGAAAAATATTTCCACAAAATATTAAGAACAACAACTGTTTTATAATAAAAAAAAAAAAGTCTTAAGCACCAAACAAGCAAATAAGAATTATTTATGAAGAATCATGTCACAATGAAAACTGGAGTAATGATGCGGAAAATTCAGCTTTGCCATCACTGGAATAAATTATATTTCAGCATATATTAAAATAGGAAACAGTTATTTTACATTGTAATACTGTTTTACAATATTCACTATTCATACTATATTTCTGAACTGGCCTTCGAGAGCATAAGATATAATAAATAACGACTTAACCTTTGAATGGTGTTTTTTCTTCTTCATTTTAAGGCTTTCAAACAAACGCACTAAAACATGTTTTACTGTCTGTCGGTCACAAACGCTAAATAAAACAGTTCAGTGTAATACAAGACCTTCGATACACGATCTGTCCCGCAGTAACTTAAGCTTCCACTAAAAAGGAAAAAAAAATAGTCCATTACAAAGTAAAACACAATCAGCGTCATCATGACAGGACGAACACTGCGATAACACGTACGCTATTACACTATTAATGTATCAACAGCTTGCAATTGAAGTTAATATAAAACAAAATTCTCACCCCACTTTTTTGTTTATCCAAGATTGGAGACTCCAGAGCTTCTGTCCATTTATAAAATGTTTTAAGTTCAGCGCGAAGAAGTCCTCCGACGCCATTAACACCGTTTTTACGCATTTTTTGTTTATAGCTATTATTAATCCCTCATGACATTTAAAATTGAAAATATTTTTATTTTTAAACCTAATAGCAGTTACCCTTGCTGGACCTGTTTTGTCCCATGTCTCAAGAATGACTGCGCTCGATGGCGCAATGACTTGCGCTTTCGTGAAGTTTTTCGTGAATATCGTCAATATAGTGGGAGGATCCGCTATGAGATCAGTTTAACTGCCTTCCCTTTTCGGACCCCAGTCTTTATTAAGAAATATTTGACTGATTACGTTTTTTTTTTTTACTTGACACTCGATAATATGTGATAAACTGATACCTGTAGATCTACTGTTGTAAGAGGTTCTAGGATCTTGAAAGACATTCACATGATTCATATGCCTGACAGTGGATCAGTGGAGGCCAAAATGTGTGGAAATCCTTTCTTATGAGTTTAAAATATTCTTGTCCACTAAAATCAATTTTACATTGCAAAATTGCTCTTGATCTGGGATATGTGAATTCTCTCCGCAATGCATATTATCCCAAAACAGCTTTACAACAAATAGTCCCTTATACTCCCACTGATCAAGCCTAAGGCGACAATGGCAAGGAAAAACTTCCTGATGTTTACATTGATTACAAACCTTGGGAACCAAGACTCAGCTGAGGAAGTCCAACTCCTCAGGCTAGTAGTACGTTTTTTAATACAAAGCAAGCATACATAAATGTTTTTGATTACATCCAGACACACATAATTAATTATTATACTAGCTGTTTCATTAAATAAAATGATTATTACGATTTCAATTGGCTATCACAGTGAGTTTATATAGCAGTACCGGTTAAACCCACACAACTGGACTACCTAATTGCATTTAGCCGCCAGGTCAATATCCTAGTTGATTTTCCATCAATAACCTGATTACTAAGCCTTTCTGTGCAGGGTACATTAAAGTACTTTGCTAGTGAAATTAATTATTTTTATTATCATTATTTCTTAGGCCTGTGACTTGGAAGAATGACATAGTTCATAGGTTAATAAAAAGGTCCACAGTAGTTTTGTATTTCTTGATACTTTGGAGAACCCTATAAATACAGTGACTAATACCATCACTGTACCTGGGATGTAAGATGCCTGTCAAGACCTTAAATAAATAAACTCTTACTAACCCTTATTCCTTGACTATTCATAACTAACAACTGCATTGGCTCTACACTTTTTACTGGAGCTCCACATCTAAACAAATACTCAGTTCTTCTTCATTCTGAACCTGTATTTATCACTTGAATCTGTGGGTACCTGTGATGGACTGGCCGTCCGTCCAGGGTGTTTCCCTGCCTTCAGCCTGAGAGATGGGATTCAGCATCCCAACAGTCCTATGCAGGACAAGCAGTTTGGAAAATGGATGGATGGATCGATCTATGGGTACTGTCTAAGTGTGATTTACTTTGTTGTTCGAGTTGTAACATGCGGTTAACTCTTAGTCATTAGTCTGAGTGCTCCAGTTGAATCTGCCAAGAAAGACATGTGGTATTTAAAGGGATAGTTCACCTTCAGTAGCTGGTCCCCATTGACTTCAATAGTATGGGAAAAAGAAAAAGAAAAAAACACTATGCAAGTCAATGGGGACCAGCAAATGAAGGTGAACTATCCACCGTCAGTCAGTGGCGGCTCGTCGGAGGAGGCAGGGGAGGCACAGCTTCCCCAAAATTTTGAGGTGAAAATGGGAGGAGGACGATTTAATGTCAATAAAATTCACAGTTCATTTCAGTCATGTCTCAGAATGTGTATTTTTTGTTTGTAATTTCACAGCTGTAATGAAGTCGGAAAGCGCCGCTTTTCTAACGCGAATGTGCCGAATCTGCTGATGTAATTACAACCGCTAGGTGATATAGAAGGGGAGGGGGAGGCCGGGGGAGCGATGAGCTCTCGTGCCTCCGTTGGTAAAAAACATTAGCCAATCAGCAGAGTGTTCACTTTCAGCGCTGAGGAGTGTTG